CTGCAGAAGCCCATTTCGTCGACCAATCCGTCGCGAACTTCTCGTCGACGGCGAGATCGGCTGCGCCCAAGCAAGGGCGGGGCCTTTCTCTTCGACACGCATCATGCTTGCGCTTGCTGCACTTTTCACTTTCACTTGTCTTGGCTTCTTTCCTCACTGCTCTCCCCACTCCTCTGCGCCCCCTTCACTTCCCCATTTTCTTCCCCCCTCTCCTCCCTTCCTCTCTCTATCCCGACCTGCCCCCTCTCGTCCCAGCAGGTCGCTCACACGGGAGTGGCAGTGGCGGGGGACATGGAGTGCACAGGCAGCAGCTGCTCTCCACCCAACCCACCCACAGCTAAGTACCCCGCCCTTTCTCTATATTCATGTGCTGCCCTCTGTCACAACCAAGAGACCTGAACCTCCCTTCAAACCTGAGCCTCTGGTCGTGCTACAACTTCAAGCCACAGACCCTTTTTGTTTGTCAACCACCCCAGGTACAGGTATCCTCTCAGGTTAAGCCTCCCTTTGAGCCTGTGGCTTTTAGCTGAAGCTGCACCAGTGGCCCCTTACTTGCTGTTACCTGTCACCCCACCCCACCCCACCCCACCCATGCACACCCTTCACATTGTTACCCCTAACCACTTACTCACTTGTCTTCAGTTCTCTCCTTGCAGGTGGAGGGGAGGGGCGTGGGGGTCAACACCGCCACTCCCCCGCACCCCTCCCCTTGTGCCCGTGCAGGTGGCAGTGGTGGGAGGGGAGGGGGGCAGCACTCCACTCGGCTGGGATGGATGGGAGAGTATCGGGATGGGGTCGTCTGGAACAAGGTGAGCCTCTTTTCCCTCATGCACTCATGCGGCTGCTTGGTCTTCTCCCCATGCTCTCTTTTCTTTCTTGCCCTCTCCCTTCTTTCACGCTTCTCCCTGTTCTCACTGTTGTCTCCTGATCCCCTGCCTCCCTTTCTCTCCCCTCCCTCTTCCCTCACCCCCAGAGCATTGAAGCCTGTTGCAGCGGGGCAGCAGGGCAGCAGGGGGCAGCAGGGGGGCAAGCAGCAGGGCATCAGCGGAGGGGAGGGAAGGGGCAACGGCAGCAGCAGGGGAAGCAGAGTAGCAGACTGGCAGCAGCAGCAGAAGCAGAAGCAGCAGCAGTCGGGGCTGGGGGGCAGCACTCCACTGGGCTGGAATGGAATGGGATGGGAGAGTATCGAGATTGGGTCGTCTGGAACAAGGTGAGCCTCTTTTCCCTCATGCAATCATGCTGCTGCTTGTTCTTCTCCCCATGCTCACTTCCCGTGTTTACTCCCTTGCTTCCTTGTAGCTTCTGCCTACTCTTCTCCCCATTCTCACTGCTGTCCCTTGATCCCCTGCCTACCTTGCTCCCTCCCTCCCAGTACATTGAAGGCCGTAGCAGGGCAGCACGGGGGCAGCAGCAGGGCAGCAGCGGAGGGGAGGGGAGGGGCAGCGGCAGCTGCAGGGGAAACAGAGCAGCAGACCGGGAGCAGCAGTTTCAGCAGCAGAAGCGGAAGCAGCAGTAGCAGCTGTGGGAGAAGGGGGCCTAGGCTAGGCTAGATGTAGCTGCAGGTGAGGTATGGTCAGGTGAGGTATGGTACCAGGTGAGGTATGGTACCAGGTATGGTATGGTAACAGGTGAAGGTATGGTAAGCTGATCCCCTCCTCTCTCTCTTTCCTCTTCTCCCTGCAGGCTGAAGGTGGGAGCACTGGAGCACTCACTTCCCCCTCTCTCCCTTTTCCCTTCCCTCCCAGCAGCACCTGGCCTGGACCACAGAGGAGTCTCCCCCTCCCCTAATCCCCCTTACTCTCTCCACTTCCCATCAGCCCCAGCATCATGGCACTCTGCACGGCTGTAGTAGGTACAGGTAAGGAGGCATGGGGGTGAAGTGTGAGGTGGGTGGGTGGGGAGCATGGGAGCAAGCGGGGAGTTCACTGCCTTAGGAACAGCATCTCCTGTGGTGGTGGGGTGTGGTGGGTGGAATCTACGCGGCACAGCACTCGGTGCTCAAGTAACCAATCTGGCGTTCAAATCTTAATGGACACCGTCAGAGCCGACCGGCCGGCGGCTCTGGTTCGCGTCAGCTCTAGCTACGTCAGGGGTGGGATTTGAGTCTTGCGCTGGAAGCGATTTTTCACTGCCACAGCTCGCCTTACAAGTCACATTCCTTCATGATGCTGTTTCCGAAAGAGATTGTGCTGTCTGCTGCTCCTACTGCTGGCAGGTAAAGGTGGGGAGGGGCAAGGTGGGTGGGCAAGGGGTGGTGGGGGGGTTGTATGGTATAGTGTGACATAGTGTGGTGTGACAGTGTGTGTGACTTAGTGTGGTATGATTCAGTGTGGTATGATTCAGTGTGGTATGATACAGTGTGGTAAGATATAGTGTGGTATGATACAGTGCGGTATGATATAGTGTGGTATGGTACAGTGTGGTATGATACAGTGGGGTATAATACAGTGGGGTATGATGCAGTATGGTATGATACAGTGTGGTAGGGGACAGTGTGTTAAAAGAGTGTGTGGTATCGGTATGATACAGTGTGTTAAGCAGCAAGGGTGTTATGATACAGTATGGTATGATACAGTGTGGTAACAAGTAGTGTGGTATGATACAGTATGGTATAATTACAGTGTGGTATGGTACAGTGTGTTTAACGAGTGTGAGGTATGATACAGTGGTAAAATATACTGTGGGAAGATACAGTGTGGTATGATACAGTGTGGTATGATGCAGTGTGGTATGATACAGTATGGTATGGTACAATGTGTTAAAAGGGTGTGTGGTATGATACAATGTGGTAAGATATAGTGTGGGATGATACAGTGTGTATGGTACAGTGTGGTATGAGATCGTGTGGGATGATGCTGTGTTGTATGATACAGTATAGTGTGATGCAGTGCGGGATGATACAATGTGGTACGATACAGTGTGATGCAGTGTGGCATGTCATGGTGTGACATGCCATGGCGTGGCATGGCATGTTGTTGTCTCCAATGGTGCTGCATGTCATCGTGTGGCATGGCATGGTGTGGCATGGTGTGGTTTGGCACAGCATGATGTGGCATGGCATAGGGTGCTATGGCATGGTGTGGCATTGCATAGGGTGCTATGGCATGGTGTGGCATGGCATGGTGTGGGCATGTCATTGTGTGTCATCCCATGGTGTGGCATGCCATTTGCTGGCATGTCATGGTGTGGCATAGCATGCTGTTGGCGTGGCATTGCGTGGCATGGCATCGTGTGGGCATGGCATCGTGTGGGCATGGCATTGCGTGGCATGGCATCGTGTGGGCATGGCATCGTGTGGGCATGGCATTGCGTGGCATGGCATCGTGTGGGCATGGCATCGTGTGGGCATGGCATCGTGTGGGCATGGCATCGTGTGGCATGGCATCGTGTGGGCATGGCATCGTGTGGCATGGCATCGTGTGGCATGGCATCGTGTGGGCATGGCATCGTGTGGCATGGCATCGTGTGGCATGGCATCGTGTGGGCATGGCATCGTGTGGCATGGCATCGTGTGGCATGGCATCGTGTGGCATGGCATCGTGTGGGCATGGCATCGTGTGGCATGGCATCGTGTGGCATGGCATCGTGTGGCATGGCATCGTGTGGCATGGCATCGTGTGGGCATGGCATCGTGTGGGCATGGCATCGTGTGGGCATGGCATCGTGTGGGCATGGCATCGTGTGGGCATGGCATCGTGTGGGCATGGCATCGTGTGGGCATGGCATCGTGTGGGCATGGCATCGTGTGGGCATGGCATCGTGTGGGCATGGCATCGTGTGGGCATGGCATCGTGTGGGCATGGCATCGTGTGGGCATGGCATCGTGTGGCATGGCATCGTGTGGGCATGGCATCGTGTGGCATGGCATCGTGTGGCATGGCATCGTGTGGGCATGGCATCGTGTGGCATGGCATCGTGTGGCATGGCATCGTGTGGGCATGGCATCGTGTGGCATGGCATCGTGTGGCATGGCATCGTGTGGCATGGCATCGTGTGGGCATGGCATCGTGTGGCATGGCATCGTGTGGCATGGCATCGTGTGGCATGGCATCGTGTGGCATGGCATCGTGTGGCATGGCATCATGTGGCATGGCATCATGCCATCTGCAGGCTGGCAGCTGCTGGAGGGACGAGGAGCACGATGGAAGGCAAGGAAGACTGAATGGGAGGGAAGAGGAGGGAAGAGGGTGGCGGAGTGGAGGAGTGTGGCATGTGCCATGCATGGCTGCCTCAGCTGCCATGCCAGAGCTGCAGTGCCTCATGGCACTCTGCTGTTGTCTACGGTATTCAGTCCTACAGGATTGGTTGATAGTTTGTCTATATTCTATATCCACATAATGTACTTGAAGCAAGCGAGTGATGATGAATTCAAAATAAGCCAATGCTTTTGATGGTGCTGCTGATGTGTAGAATCGGTACTTCATGGTACGGTAGTTCAATGTAGTTTGCAGTTGTCTGAGCTTGTCAGCAGGTGATAAATCGATTCAAGCAAACTTTGCACAACTTGAAAGAAACACGTAAAGTGTATGCTGATGCTGTCCAGATCATCACACCAGGCAGCTGGAGAATAATCGTAGGGCTTATGTACAGCCATTGCAGATTGCCAGTGAACACTTCAAATGCGTCATATTCACAAGCAATGCCTACTGCATGCAACCTCTAGGTAAGACAGTGATGGCGATGGTTCTTTCTTTCTGGACTGTGGACTCCAGTAACCTTCGCCGTGCTGTGCATGTGCTGGCCGAATCATGACTACAAGTTCTATGATGTGCTGAAACTTCTATATGAGGCACAACAACCCTCAGATAAATACTGGTACCAGTATGATGTGTTAAGACGGAATAAATACGTGACCAGGTTTGTCTGGCCCTAACACTGGAAGCTTACTGCCTGTACTGCCAGGACACTGTGGTTGCAACATCAGCTTCCTGTCCTGCTGCATGTACCCCGAAGCATCCCCTTTTTAAGTCGACTCAAGAAGCGACACTGTGGTTGCGCCATCAGCTACCTGTCCTGCTGCCTGCACCCCGCAGCATCCCCTCATTCCCCTTCCCCCCCGCACCCTTCCCCATCCTAATGCACACACAAACACACCAAAACATGAGAAGCAGAAACCCACACCCAGTCATCACCCCACAATCACATGCACCCTTGTTCCCCACACACTCATGGTCTGCCCAACCAAACCCATCCCCTTCCCCCGACCACCACCATTCAAATCCACCCCCATTCTCGACAGCGAATTCCCCATCATCTCAACTCCCCTTGCGCGTTTCCTCCCATTCCCGTGGTGAGTCATGCCCATGGCCGACAACCCCTCTCCTCCAAACCACCACCGCAGATGGTGCACGTGGGAGCAAACGACACATCGTTAGCCCACCGCCACCTTCTACACTCTGAACCATCCTCTCCTCTTCTCTCCCCCACCCACCCCCTCCCCCCCCTCTCCCTCCCCTGTCCCCTTCCTCCTCCTCCCTCCGCCACGTCTGCGCATTCCCACTTCCCTCCCCGCGCCCTTCCCCCACGCTCACGCCTCGTCCTCCAGCGCGCCTCTGGTGCGCACGGCGGGCGCGGACGGCGCCCTGTCCCCTTCCTCCTCCCCCCTCCTCCACGTCAACGCATGCCTACTTCCCCTCCCCCCGCCCTTCCCCCCCGCGCTCACGCCTCGTCCTCCAGCGCCCCCCTCGTGCGCACGGCGACTTTTGAGGCGCCTCAAACGCTATACCCTCCCTCACCCTCACGCCTCGTCCTCCAGTGCCCCCCTCGTGCGCACAGCGGGCGCGGACGGCGCGCGCTGGCCCGCGATGAGCGCGGTCTCGAGGTTCGCGGCGCGCTCCGCCGCGAGCTCCATCTTCTCGTAGCGCCCGCGCTGCAGCAGCTGCCAGATCAACCACGCGCCCAGCACGAGCAGGAGAATAATCGGTATCGCGAGTCCGATCGCTAGCCCGATCGTCAGCCCGCTTGACCCGCCGTTGTCGGTGGGGGTGGTTACGGGCGGAGAAGGCGGAGTGGGGGTTGGCGGAGTTGGCGGGGACGGGGGGGGCGGAGGGGACGGCGCGGGGGGCGGCGGGGAAGGGAATGGGTTGGAGCCGATTGTGAGGGTAAATTCCCCAAGGGTGACGCTCTCGCAGATGACTCGCGTGGGTGTGCTGTCCTGTGATTGGTTGAGAGGAATAAGCGCGCCGAGCAGACCGAACATAGTGCACTGAACGTAACCAGGCTGAGAGTCGTCGAAAGGAAATGTAACAGTTATTGGTAACGACGGGCTCGTTCGCACAAGCAGCGGGCCCGGAGCCTTCGTCGTGTCGTTAACGTACGGGAGGATGTCAACCCCAGCGAAATACGGCGAATAGGAGTAACCAGTCGGTGGTCTGTACGGCGCGAAGGTGACTGGAATCTGGTTATATAACAGCACGACGAGTTCCGGATTCGTAGAGACCTGGATTCCCGGCGGGATGAAAAACTCGTGGAATAAAAACCCATTCGCGACCAGCGAAGAGAGCTTGAGCTTCACGAGTTGAAGAGTCATGTTGGTGAACGGCGGTTGCGGCAGGTCGATGATTTGACCGAGCGCGGCCGTGCTGGCGCCTTTCATGGCGAGATTCTGCACGAACTGCTGGTAGATTCGCATGCGGATCGACTGGATTTTATCCGTCGTGATCTGATTTGCGGCGGCGAGGAAATCCGAGGCGGACATGGACGGCGCGCTGCCTTGTACCAGCTCGCCTGTGTCGTCGGGTAGCGACGTGAAGGGATCTTGCGATTCGAGTTGCGCATAGGATGAGTTGCGGAGGAGCAGGAGGAGAAGGATTGCGCAGAAGAAGCAACGGTCTAGACTGACCGTGAGGCACGCCATGTTTTTGTAGTTCAGTCGCGAAAGTGGCTGTCTACACGCGACTATTTCCCGTTCTATAAACCCGCTACTTCCTATTCCAGGCCGGTGTCTCAGCTATACACTGACGTAAAGAGCGGCGCGCTGGGGCTATACGCAGCTTACGGGGAGATTTTATGCTTGTAGACTCTGTAGAAGAGAGGTAAAGGTAAAGCTCCTCCGTTGTCCTGCTGCGTGGCCTGGGTTCTCAAGCTAGCAGGTGTTGGGATTGACTAGGAAGGAGAAATATGCAATGGCGTGTGGAAGTGGATTTGGTTGGTGATGTTGGGTGTATGTACGCTGGTGCAATGCGTTTCGATGCGTTCTTACACGGTACACAACGGTTCACTCTCTGCACCGCTTTGGACCGTAACGAACACATGAACCAAACTACCCAAAAGGGAAAGCCCACCATGTGATGGCTTCTGAGGCGACGAATGTTCAGTGAGTTTGGGCTTGCGAGCTTCGAGAAATTGGTAACTACGATTCACGAGGAAATCGTAACTAGCAAAAACATCCAGGCGAAATCCGACATCCCATCATCCACGGTCTGCGGAACACCAGAATTCGGCTTCGCCAAAGCTCGTGCGGCGTCGCATCAAACAGATTTTCCCAGACATCCGCGTCGAGCCGCTGCCATGACTGGGCAAACAGAGTCACTGACGCCGGCTAACCGAGGAAGGCCCAGCTGGACGTCAGATGCCCACTGGCAAGTGGGAAGCGGCAAGACTGATGACGTGGCCAATGAGCTCCAGTGTTGAAGGCGGGAATTTGTCGAAGCGCAGACACCACCAGATCCATCACCCAAACTGAGACTCCCGTACAAGCATGCTTCGTTATTATTTATGTAATCGGTTGTGTATCGGTGAGATTTTGGTAATAAGGTAAAAGGACGATGCTTAGAGGAGTGTAATACTGATTACCACATTCTTCAGGTTATTAGCAGCAAAAATGGGAATCCATGCAATAATAACACACTGTTGCAGTTTCTGTTTCTCACGGTTGATGTATAAATGACATTGAGGTACGAACAGCATGTACAAAAACTAAGGACCATGCCTAGACTATTGGCTTGACTATCACTTTCAAGAATGAAAGTGTTGTGTTATTGATGAGGGTTGGGGTACATATGGCAAACCCTAACATTTGTACCCCCTAAGACAAACCTCACTACAGGCTACAACATTTGACACACCCCCATAGCCTAAGTGAGGGGTGTCAAGCAAAACCAAAAGTGTACGGTCACAAGACCAGTCACAAAGAAACAAAGCTCAGGGTGGATCACAACGTCACCACACAATCTGAGCACAAGCAACAGGGGCCACAAGGCCAGTCCAAGAGTTCACAAAGGTGTATGGCAAGAGTACAAGCAAAGCAAACGGTAAACTCAAGCCTACACACGACCAGAACCCGTGTCAACAAGACCTAACTGCATACAACACCTCTGGTGGTCACAAGGCGGAAGCGCCTTGGTGAAGATGTCTGCAGTGTTGGCCTCGGACTCCACAAACTCGAAGCGAGCATGTCCACGTCTCTGCAACTCACGCAAAAGAAAGTACCTGACGTTAATGTGCTTCACTCTGCTCTCCAGTCGCGGCTCTCGACAGAGGAGAATCGACGCCTTGTTGTCAGTGAACAAGGTCGGTGCAGAGCTCGGCCGCTCACCAAGGTCGGCGAGCAAGAAGGTCAACCAACGCAGCTCCTGTGCCGCCATGGCACCAGCGTAGATCTCAGCCTCAGCAGTAGAGGTCGAGACCGAAGAGGAGCGCGTGGACCTCCACGAAACAGCTCCAGAACCCAAGCTGAAACAGTACCCCTGAGTAGACCTGTGAGTCTCAGCGTCGTCAGCGTAAGAAGAGTCACAGTGACCAGTAAGTACGACAGACTGCTGCCCTCCAAGAACTAGCCCCACGCCTGATGTCGTCGCTAGGTACTTCGCCACCCTCACACCTGCCGTCCAGTGAACAGGACGGTGTCTCCCTGGCGCAACAAAGCGAGCAAGGATGCTGAGAGGGAAGGCGAGGTCCGGGCGAGTACAAGTCATCAGGTACATGAGGCAGCCCACCAGCTCTGCGTAGGGACCACTAGACTCAAACGACTCGTCAGGAAAGGGTCCAGTAAGTCTGTGGTCAACAGCAAGAGGTGTGCGCTGGACTGTGGAGTGCTAAAGCTCGAACCGCTGAAGAACCTGCTGCACCATGTGTGACTATGAGAGTGTAATGGTGCGAGCAGCTCTGTCCCTGGTGATCTGCAGGCCAAGGTAGTGGCGCAGCTCACCAAGGTCAGTGCACGTATGTCTCTTCTGCAGTTCGGACTTCACTCTGCCAAGGGAACCCTGTCAGCAGTGGCGAAAACCAGGTCGTCGACGTAGACCAGAACAAAGAAAGGTGTGGAGCCACGACGGACGAACAGTGACGGGTCGGCAGAAGACGGCTGGAAACCAAGGTCAGAGAGGGTAGAACGAAGAGTGTCGTGCCACTCACGAGGAGCCTGATGGAGACCGTAGACAGGTCGCCTCAGCCTCCACTGGGTCCCAGGAGGGAAAGTGCCAGTGAAGGCAGAGGGACGACGCAGCCAGACCTCCTCGTGAAGGCTACCCTGAAGGAAAGCAGTGGAGAAGTCGAGAGAGTGTAACTCGTAGTCTCTCTGTGCTGCTACGTGTAGTAACACCCGAAGAGTGGTCATCTTCGGGGTAGGCGCGAAGGTCTGAAAGAAGTCAACTCCCTCGCGCTGACTAAAACCTCTAGCCACATAGCGCGCCTTGAAGACCGGAGGAGATCCCGGTGGCCGCTTCACCCTGTAGATCCACATGCCATCGACTACGTTCGCCCCAGGGGGGGGAACCTCGTCGACGTAGGTGCCTTTGGATCTGTAGGAGGCCATCTCTGCGTCCATGGCAGCTCTCCACTGAGAGGCCCAAGGCCCTGACACTGCCTCAGCGTAAGTGCGAGGAGTCGGTATGTCAAGGGCGTCGGGGTCTCCCTCAGGGGAGAGGAGCATGGCACAGAGATGAGGGGAAGCGGCTGCCAGGAACTCCAGCTCAAACTGCCTGTCCTCTAGGGCGTCACAGCCAAGGGCAGACTCAACCCCGACGGCCAGAGGACTGGTAGGAGGAGCAGCCACGAGACAAGTGGCGTAGTCAAGGCGGCGAGTAGTGGCGAACTCAGTGACGGCGACAGTAAGGGCGGAGACAGAGGACAGAGAGGCACGAGGGTCCGTAACAAGAGAGGCGAGAACACGAGGGAGAACAGGTCGGTACGTGCGGTAGTAGTCAGTGACAGGAGTAGAGAGGGAAGCAGTGAAGGCCGACTCAGGAGGAGAAGGAAGCACAGACTGAGACGAACGAGGCGGACTAGGACGGAACAGGGCAGTACGAAGGTCAGTGAGAGCAACAGGGGACGAGGGACGAGCACGAGGAGAGCGACGAGAGGGCCAGGCGGGCAAAGGAGGGGGAGACAACGGAGTCGGAGAACGAGGGAGAACAGCTGGGGAGGAGTCAGGAGGAGGAAACGTGGGACCGTAGACAAGAGGAGAGGGGGAGGAGGAAGGAGAGGGAGAGGGGAGACCGAGGGTCCAAAGACCAGAGACAGGAGGAGGAGGTGGCTGCGGCTGCTGCTCCTGGTGCGGCTGCGACAGCTGCGACTGCTGCTGCTGCTCCCGCGGTTGCTGCTGCTGCTGCTGCTACTGCTGCTCCTCCAGCCGCTGCTGCTGCTGCTGCTGCTCCACCTCCAGCCGGTGCAACTCTCTCTCCTCTCTCTCTAACTCCAGCTGCTCCTCACGGGCACGGCGAACACGAGCCTGGTGCCGGGTCGGGTAGGGGTGGGGGGGAGGAGTAGTGTCCGGGGCCGCGGCAGCCCCAGGACCACCCTCCAAAGCACCCGGCGCACCACCCCCAGAGGCAGTACCACCAACAGCAACACGGCCAGGCTCACAAGGACCCGAAGGGGGCGCACCCGCACCCCCAGACGTAGCACCCCCAGAGTCAGCACCACCTACACCAGCTCCCTGAAGACGAGAGTCTCCTGCAGCCTCGGGCTCAGCCCCAACTCCAGCACCCCCAGAGCTAGCACCGACAGGGTCCTCGCCACGAACAACGGCTCCCGCAGGGTCTCCCGTAGGCTGCAAGGAGGACTGCGGGGAAGGAGGCTGTACCTGAGGGGCTACCGAAGGGGGAGGGGTAGCGTGGGACACACCTGACGGGGCTGGACCAGGGGGGGGAGGCTGTACCGGGGGAGCAGGAGGGGGAGCGGAAGTCAGGAAGAGAGGGGGAGGAGGAACCAGGAGACCTCGGTAGGGGTACCTGACGTAGTAGGGGACGAACTCGTCGAAACTGACGTCACGGGAGTCAAAGAACCGGTGAAGGGGAGGGTGGTAAAAGGTGAAGTCAGAGGAGTCCTCTGGGAAACCAAGGAAGAGACAAGGAACGGCGCGAGGCGAGATCTTGTCTGCGGAGGTGTCGCGAACAAGAGCCAAGCAACCCCAGACACGAAACCGCGATGCAACACCAGGGGACCCGGTCCAAAGACTAGTCGGTGAAACCTCTGGCCGAGAGACACGTGGCCAGAGGTTCAGCTGGTGAGCGGCGTACCTAACCGCGTAGGGCCACAGAAAATGGGGGGCACGGGCGTGAGTCAAGGAGGTGCGGGCGATCTCCATGACCAAACCTATGCGGCGCTCAGCAACCCCATTCTGCTGTGGGGACTCTGGAAGCGTCCAGGACTGACGAATGCCCTGCTCGCGACAGAATCCAGCGAGAATGCCGGAGCGAAACTCACCCCCACGGTCGGAGCGAAGACAGCTGACTCGACGACCACGAGTGCCCTCAGTGGTAAGCAACCACCTGATCAGCGTAGAAGTCACCTCAGTCTTCTTCGCAAGGGGGAACACTGTGGTGTAGTGGGAGTAGTCGTCAACGACCACCAGAAAGAAACGCTCACGCTCAGGGCAAAGGCGAGAGGCGGGGCCCCAGACGTCCAACTGGAGCGTCTCAAAAGGCTCGGTGGCCGGACGAAGAGAGGAGGAGTGAGGGGTGGCGCGCAGCCTACCCTCGACGCAGGGACCGCACGGTGGTGCAAGCGAAGGCGGCAGCGACGGCAAGACACGTGGGAGGCCTAAGACAAGACGCTGACGAGACATAGTGCGCAGACGAGGGAGAGACGAGTGCCCCATCCGGTGGTGCCACAGAACGGTGGGGTGGGCAAGTGACCGGCAGGAGCACGACGCAGCAACTGGACAAGACACGGGAACCGGACCAGACACAGCTACCTGGGGGGACGCAGCAACCTGGTGAGACGCAGGGACCAGACTGGGGGAAGGAACAGGGGCCGCGGGCAGTAGTCGCTGCTGCTGCTGCTGCTGCTGCTGCGGCTGCTGCTGCTGCTGCCCACTAGAGCTAGTGTGAAGTGTGTAGAGACCAGAGCCCGGCTCAGCTGTAAAGGTGGCAAGAGGCGTGTAAGTGTCTCCGTCAACACAAACCGCCGTCTCACCAGAGGGCTCTGATACCATGTCAAGAATGAAAGTGTTGTGTTATTGATGAGGGTTGGAGTACATATGGCAAACCCTAACATTTGTACCCCCTAAGACAAACCTCACTACCGGCTACAACATTTGACAATCACTAGCTATGCACAATTTTCACTTCAGTATATACATCCTTTTCACCTACCAATATCTAACATCGTCATGAGCCATCACTGCCATCAGCTTCAATAGCATCATGATTTCCTGCGGCGTTGTGAAATTCTGACATCAGCAACACCATGCGCTGCTGTATGGCATGTGCAACATGCTTCAAGCACAGCCCACCATCGTCACCTCCATGCACACATGAAACTGTAGCAGGACCAGACGCAGCAGCAGCAGCACCACCACCACCAGCACCATTAGCAGCAGCAACAACAGCAGCGGACGCAGCCGCACCACCACTAGCAGCAGCACCACCACTAGCATCAACATCAGTGGCAGCAAACGAGGTATGACTGCACCGCACTTGCCTCACAGCAGCTGTGGCCATGCTCGCCAGTTGGCGCACCGCCCGCTCCAGCTGGCCGCACGTGATTGGTGCAGCTGCACGACCAGGTGACGTGGACAGGAGGGCTTGATGATGACCGCACATGTGAGTGTCAGTGTCTGTGAGTGTGTGACTGTACAAAGGGTGCTGCTGCTGCTGCTGGTGCTCCTGATGGTGGCGCTGCTGCTGCTGCAGCAGGGGGCTATGTGTGGGGAGAGTGGGGTGTAGCAGCAGCAGGTGGGAGAAGCAGAGCTCGAGAGCAGCGAGGAGCAAGTGGAAGCACGCCGGTGGGGGGCGGACAGGGCAGCGGGACGGAGCGGTGCTGGAGGGTGCCTTGCGGTTGAGAGGTGTGTGAGTGACAGCACCCATGCGATCCCCACTGCGATGAGGAGGGACACCCTCACTGTCGTCCCCACCACTGCCTTTACCCACCGTCCGGCTATCCCCTTCGCCCCTTGTCTCTTGCACTGCTCTTCCAGCCACCCCCCCCTCCTGCTCCCTCATGCCCTCCGCATCCTCATCCCCCTCCTCGTTTTCCTTCGCCTGCCGCTTGCCTGCTTCACGTGCCTTCTCATCCCCCTCTTTATCCTCCTCCTCCGCCTCCTGCTCCCTCTCTTCTCTCTCCGCATGGCTGTCCTCCGCTGCATCTGCACGCCCACATCGCCCTTCATTGCCTGTGCCTGTCCGGTCCCCATTCCTATCCTCATCCCCATCCCCGTCTTCATCCTCACTCTCCCTGCTCCCTCTCGCTGCGTCACCTCCCCTTTCAGCACCTCTGCCTGCCACACCACCTCCCCCCTCCTCCTTCTGAAGCGCCTCAAAACTTAACTCCTCGGTGCAGTGAGTGGCGGCAGCACCTGCTGCTGCACTCATTGCTGACTGCTGTCTTGACTCAAACGCCACTGCTGCCAACTGGTGGGTGGACTCAAGTACCACCTCTCCTCCTCCCTCTGGATAAACAGCCACTGCTGTACCACTCTCTCCTCCTCTCTCTCCACTCTCTCCTCCTCCCTCTCCACTTAATTCCCCTGCCCCTCCTCCTCGCCTCGACCCAGCACCACCAATCCCAACTCCTCCTTCTTCTCTCCCGTCTCTCCCTTTGATCCCTTCTCTCCCTTCTCCCCATTCTCTCCCTTCTCTCTCATCTCTCCCATCTCTCGCCCCCTCTTCATTCCCATCTCTCCTTTCACCCATTTCTCTCACTTCTCTCCCTTCTCCCTTTTCCTTCCCTTCTCTCCCTTCTCCCCCACTCCCACCAAGCCCATCGTTCTCCTTCCCACCCCATACTCCCCCTCCCCACCCAGGGCCAGGTCGTCTCAGCACATCTAGGCCTGTGATAAGAGGCGCTGCAGCAGATTTCCCACCTGCTAGAGCAGCAGCAGCAGGAGGAGCAGCAGCAGCAGCAGCGGAACGAGCAGCAGAGGGGGCACCTATCACTGGAAGGACTGCAAGGCCCGTCACCAGAGGGGGTGCCGCAGCAGAGAGCCCACGTGCTGGAACAGCCGCAGCAGGAGCAGGAGGAGGAGGAGGAGGAGGAGAAGTGGTAGCAGGAGCAGCCGCAGGAGGAGCCACAGGAGCAGCAGAACGAACTGCAGGAGCAGAAGCACCAACAGAATCAGGAGAAGGAGCAGCGGCGGCGGCAGCAGGAGCAGCAGTGACAGCAGCAGCAGTGGGAGCAGCTTGCACTGGGGGATTGAAAGAGAATGGTGCGGTTACAGTAGGTTCAGAGTGATTCACCTCCCCGTGGGGTGTGGAGATGGGTGCTGGTTCAGAGAAGGGTGGAGGTGTGGAGAAGAGTTGGGGCGTGGAGATGGGTGGGGGAGAGAGAGAGGCTGCGGAGGGAGGGAAGGGCAGAGGAAACGGCGCAGGGAGAGCGAGAACGAGGGGGTAGTTGCCAGGAGTGGACACGGGAGGGAGAAGGAGAGCTGGGCTGGAGAGGGCTGAAGAGGGAGGAATGGCGGAAGGGGGTGAGGCGTTGGGAAGGAGGCTAGGTGCAGAGGGGGATGGGAAGGCGAGGAAGGGTGAGGGGAAAGCAAAGGGTCGATCGGCCGCCACAGCAGCAGCTGCGCCAGCAGCAGCAACAGGCGCAGGAGGGTACGTGTGCTGCTTATCCTTCCACTCCTGCCGGTGCTGGTAGGAGCACGAGAATCGCCGGGCGTGCGATCTCTCTGACGCGACAGGGGGCCGGTGCGACACACGAGGCTCACCAGCGCGCGGGAAGAAGGGAAGGGGAGGAGGAGGAGGAGGAGGAGGAGGAGGCAGGTGGGCAGTGGAGGCAGCAGCAGCAGCGAGCAGGGGACCCATAAGGTGCACCCATGCTGCCACTGTGTCTTGTAGCGCTCTCACTTGCTGCTCCATGTGACACGCGCGCTGCACCGCCCACACATGCTCCACACTCCACCGCTGCTGCTCGGGGGTTTGATAGTGCTCGGGGGTCTGATAGTGATGATGCCCGTGGGATTCAGGTGTCTTTTGAGTCGACTCAAAACCCACGCCCCACCTTGTCACTCTCGCAACATCACGCCTCACAGCCTCTAGAGCCAGGTCGCAGACCCTCTGTATCTGCTGCTGCATCCCCCCCGGACTACGCACCACCCCATGCACCAGCCTCATTGCTACCGCTGCTAATCCCCGGACCTCTCCTCCTCTTCCCAATTCCCCTCCTCTTTGCATTCCTCCTTCCCCTCCTCGTCTTCCTCCTCCCTCGCCTCCTCTCTTTCTTCCTCCCTCTCCTTTTCTTTGACCGCCTAACGAGTGACGACGACCACCAATACTGCCTGCCACAGGAAAACCACCACTTCTGAGACTGCCGCTTCTGGGACTGAATAACCCACCGTCCGTCTCCCTCTCTTGCAACGAACGAGTGGGATACACGAACGTGTCACCCTCAGGAACGTGTATCCAGCTACCCTCCCTCCCTCTCGCACCTCCCATCCCTCCCTCGCTCTCCCGTCGCCTCTTCACCCTGCCCCTCCTCCGGTCCCACTCCCCCGACCTCCTCTCCCTCTCCTCTCTCCTCTGCTCCCTCTCCATTCTCCTCCTCTCCCTCTCCCTCTCTCTCAGTCTGCTACTCATCCTAGTAGGCCGTTCTGCCTTGGCCCAATTAGCCATCCTCCCCTCCCTCCTCCCCTCCCTCCTCCCTTCCCTCCTCCCCTCCCTCCTCCCCACACCTCCCTCCCCACTCCCCACTTCTTTCCTCTGCCTTCTCCCCTCCTCCTTCCCTCTCCTAACTTCCTCCTTTCTGCTCCCCGCCCGTCCCCCCTCCCCTTGAATCACGAATCGGGGGGTGCGGGGGAGGGAGGAGGAGAATGTGCGGAGGGGGGAGAGGGAGGGGTGGCGTAGCAGGTACAGCCCGCACCAGGCCAGCCCTCCCAGCAGCCGCCGCTCTGCCTCTGTTCGCCACACAGCCTGTGCGTGCTGCTGCTGCTCACAGCCCTCCCCCTGCTGCTGCTGTGGTTGAGCTTGCTGCTTCCTCTGCTGCTCCCACTGCTCCTCCTCAGGAATGTTAATTTGCCCCTCTGCCTCCCTCCCTCTCATCCCATTCCCATCACCACCCACCCCATCACCACCCACCCCATCTCCACCCCTTCCTTCCACTCTCCTTCTCTTCCCAGCTCTCCTTCCCTCCTCTTCCCACCGTCCTCCTTCCCCGTTCTCCCCCCTCTTCCCATTACCCTTCAAGCCCCTTCCCCCTACCAACCCGTCTCCCCCAGCACCGCTTTCCACCGCTTCCCACACTTCCCATGCCAGCTGCCGAGCAGCCATGCCCACTGCCGCCCTCCACCTCCCGGCCAATGAGAGCGCGCCACCTGTCCCGCCTGCTGCAATCTCCTCTTCCTGCTGACCCCCCCCATCCCCCATCTCCCGCCTTCTCCCGCCTCCTCCTTCTCCTCCGCCTCCTCCACCCCCCTCCTCTTCGTCCTCTTCCGCCGTTCCAACCCCAAGGCATTTCTTCCCCCACATATCACTTGCCCCCGTGCCTTCATCCCCGTCTCCCTCAACATTCCCCCCATCTCCTGCTTCTCGTTCCACTCCTGCCCCTCCTCCTCCTCCTCCCCTGCCACTGCCCCCACCACCACCCACCACAAGAGACTGTTGCAAGCAGCAGGAGGGGAGAGAGGGGAGAGTCAGCACTGCACGGCCACTCCCACTCGCATTCACCAAGCTCTGTCCACTCGCCTTTGACCCAAGGCCGGTTAGAGGAGACGGTTCGGTTGACGGAGGAGGGGAGGGACGCGGGGAGTGATGAGGCGAGGGACGGAAGAAGGGAGGAGAGGAGAGGGCAGAGGGGGAGGACGGCGAGGGGGAGAGCGGAGAGGAGGAGGGGGGTGACGGGGAGAGGGGAGAGGAGGAGGGGGGCAGGAAGAATCGTTGCACCGGCGATGGGAGGGCAGAGAGAGGGACCTCTGAGGTGGCCTGGGTGAGGTGAGGTGGATGACAGAAACAAAGACAGAAACAAAGACAGAAACAAAGACAGAAACAAAGACAGAAACAAAGACAGAAACAAAGACAGAAACAAAGACAGAAACAAAGACAGAAACAAAGACAGAAACAAAGACAGAAACAAAGACAGAAACAAAGACAGAAACAAAGACAGAAACAAAGACAGAAACAAAGACAGAAACAAAGACAGAAACAAAGACAGAAACAAAGACAGAAAAAAGACAGAAACAAAGACAGAAAAAAGACAGGGAAAGAAAACCGGGGTTTTGGCATGGCATGGCACAGCATGGCATGGCATAATTCTGCACCGCATGGCATGGCATGGCAGGACGCACCACAACGTGAATCTCGGGCGCATGACCACGGGACAAGTGCGTGAGAGCAGCAGAGGACGACAACTGAGACTCCACCACCGCCATCAGCTGCTCGAACGATGCCCACTCCCCTGATACCCCGCCTCGCCCTCCATCTCCCGCTTCCCCTCCTTCCCCTCCTTCCTCTTCTTCCTCTTCCTCCTCTTCCTGGCTCTCCTCACTCTCTTCTCCCTCACTCGCCCCCCTCCTCCTTCCTCCTCCTCCAACCTCTCCCCCTCCACCCCTCCCTCCTCCTCCTCATCCTCCTCCTCCCCATCCACTCCCACGCCTCTCCCATCCTTCCACCCCTGCACCACCCATGTGTTGACACGTGGCAGCAGCAGCACACAGGGCACCATGGACCTCGCTTGCTCTGCGAACCGGAAGAGAGGGGAGAAGGGAATAGGGAGAGGGGAGAGGGGAGAAGGGAATAGGGAGAGGGGAGAGGGGAGAAGGGAATAGGGAGAGGGGAGAGGGGAGAAGGGAATTTGCAGTGCCTCAGAAAGACACCTGCGGCAGTTTAGAAAGGGAAAGCTGATGGAAGAGCAGACACACAAGATGAGAACACAGGAGGAGGCATTGATATATGAGCGTGTACATGGCTGCACCCATGTGGATGCAGCAATAACAGAGCAAACAGCTCTAGGTGACTTTTGACTTTTGAGTCGACTCAAAAGCCACCTTGGCTGCACCCATGTGGATGCAGCAATAACAGAGCAGAGAGCACTAGAGCACTAGATACGTGGAGCATGAGAGCATGGAAGGGTGGCTGACCTATGAGTGCGCGCATGCCGGCAGCCATGTCCCCATGCCCCAGCAGCACCATAGCAGGTACATCCACCACCACCACCGCCCCCTCTTGAGAATCCCCAGAAGTGACACAAGCATTCCCCTTCAACGCACCTATGAGAGCACGCATGCCTGCTGCCATGTCTCCATGCCCCAGCAGCACCATAGCAGGTACATCCACCACCACCACCGCCCCCTCTTGAGAATCCCCAGAAGTGACACAAGCATTCCCCTTCAACGCACCTATGAGAGCACGCATGCCTGCTGCCATGTCTCCATGCCCCAGCAGCACCATAGCAGGTACATCCACCACCACCACCGCCCCCTCTTGAGAATCCCCAGAAGTGACACAAGCATTCCCCTTCAACGCACCTATGAGAGCACGCATGCCTGCTGCCATGTCTCCATGCCCCAGCAGCACCATAGCAGGTACATCCACCACCACCACCGCCCCCTCCCCTCCTCCCCTCCTCCCACACCCCACCCTCCCCTTCCTAGCCCCTCTGCACCGCTCTCCACTCGGGAATCCCTTCCTATCCAGCTGCACCGCTCTGCACGCCTCTGCAAATGACTGTGTACCTCCGGGGCTGAGAAGCTTGGCTGCTATTGCACCCACATGCGCCTGCCCCTGCTCGCCCCTCCCACACACCACCACCCTCTGCCCCTGCCCCTGCCCCTGTCTCAGCTGTTCCTGCCCCTGTCCCTGCCCCTGCTTTGTCCCCCCTGCTTGCTGCTCCCACTGCCACAGCCCAAACGGTAAACCACTGTCCTCATCCTCCTCCTCCCTCTCTTCCCCCTCCCCCTCCTCCTCTCCCACCTCCCCCTTCTCTCCCTCCTCCTCCCCATCCTTCCCCTCCTCTCCTTCCTCCCCCTCCTTTCCCCCCTCCTCCCCCCCTCCCACTCTCTCTCCCCCGTCCTCCATATCCCCATCCTTGCCCGGCATGCCTCTCTCCTCTCCTCTCTCCACCCATCCAAGCATCTCCAAGGCCCGTCCCACCACCCACTCCTCCTCATCACCTGCCCCTTCATCTCCCCTCCCCACCATCCTCCATCTTTAACTCTCTGCACTGCCCCCTCCTTTCAACTCACCTTGCCTATAGTCACACCCCACACCTGCTTTCCCCCCAGTAATGTCACTGTCTCTCAATTCAAATACCTCCCGTTGTTTCCCAACCCCAGCTGTCTCAACCAATGCACGAACCAGCCGAACCAAAGCAGGGGCCAGGATCGGCAACAAATACCCAGGCACGGCAGCCCGACCTAACTTGCCGAAGCTGGCTGCGGCCGTTCGGAGGGCACAGGGCACTTGTGCCCGCTGCAGTGCATCCAGCCAATCACAGGCCTCCAAGTGGATCTCAGGGATAGGCAGACGAGACATCCTCGCTGGCACCAATGAGCCTGTGCCACGTGGACAAGAAGATGCTGCTGCTCCGGGCAGCTGGGGCTGCCCAAAACCGGAAGTTTCACTCACGGGCAGCACATCAAGAGCCAAAGCCTTGTCCATGGGAAACGTTTTTCTCAGGGCAGCCATAAGCGCATCACTGCAAACTGCCCGAAGATCTGCCCCTGCAAAACCCTCACTCCTCTTCGCTAGCTCCTCCAGAACCTTCCTGGAAGGTGCCACCCCCGCCCCCCACCCCCCTGTTATTGCCCTCAAAATCGCCTTCCGGCCCGCAAATCCGGGCAGCGGAAAGAAAATCTCGCGGTCAAACCTGCCCGGGCGGCGCAGGGCAGGATCAATCGCATCAATCCTATTGGTGGCCGCAATAACGGTAACCGCACCCCTAGAATCCAACCCATCTAACAAGGCCAGAAGCGTAGCCACTACAGAGCTATGAGTGGGGTCCTGATTCGGCCCCCTAGCCGGTGCGAGCCCATCTAGCTCATCAAAGAAGATAATAGACGGCTGACGTTGCTTCGCCACTTCAAACAGCAGCCGTAGATGCTTCTCCGCGTCTCCCACGTACTTCCCGAGGCAATCCGCGCCGTGCCGCGCGAAAAACGCCACCTCTCGCTCCCCCCTCGCACACGCCCCTGCCAACGCCCGCACCACCAGGGTCTTACCTGTCCCGGGGAGCCCGTGCAAGAGCACGCCGCGGGGGGGTGTGATGCCGAGGGATGGGAAGAGGGAGGGGTAGCGCAGGGGGAGGAGGACGAGCTCTGTGAGGGAGCGGATGACTGGGCGTAGGCCGCCTATGGCGGACCATGGGGGGAAGGGGGAGGCGTGGGGGAGCGGATTGGGGGTGCTGGGGGGGTGGGTGGATGGGGCGGATGGTGGTGCTTCTGCTGGTGCTGCTTCTGCTGGTGCTGCTGCACCTGCTGCTGTTCCTGCTGACCCTGATGCTTCTGCTGGTGTTGAGTGTGACACCTGGGCTGCTTCAGGTGATGCTGCTGTCTGGGCTTCTCTCTCTGCTGCATCTCTCTCCCGCTCCCCTGTCCCTGTCCCTGCTGCCGTTCCTGCTGTCCCTTCTGCTCCCGCTGCTGCTTCTGCTGCTAATCCTGCTCCCGCTGCTGCTTCTGCAGCCAATGCTGCTCCTTCTGCTCCTTCCACTCTTGTTGCTGCTCCTGCTCCTGCTGCTGCTCGCACACCAGAACCATCCCCCCCAGCTTCCACTGCTTCTGCAGGGTCCCTTTTCCTTCCAACCAGCACCTCGGGCTCTGTTGTAACCCTTGCCTGCTTTTGACAAATCGCAACAGCAGCTCCCAATGCTGCTCCTGGAGTGTCTCTTGCCCCTTCAACCAGCACCTCTGAATCCGGTGTATTCCTCGCCCGCTTTTCTGCCGTCTCCCCCTCCCCATCACCCTCAATCCACCGATCTGTTGCCCCACCCACCTCCTCCCTCGCTCCTTTCCCCACTCCCTCACTCACTCCCTCACTCACTCCATCACTCACTCCGTCACACACCCCTGCATTCACCCGCTCGCCGCTCACGCCACCTGTTGCCACCTCAACAGCCCGACCCCTCAGGCACATCTCGGGACTCAAGCCCTGTAGTAGCTCCGCTGCTCCCTTTCTTCCCTCTCGTCCTTCGTCCCTTCCCTCTCTTCCTCTCTTCCTCCCCTCCTCCGCTGCTTTCCCTCCTCTGCCCAGCTCCTCATCCCCCTCCTCCACCCCCCCTTCCACCACATTCCCCTCCCTCACTCCCTCCTCCCGAATTCCCCCCTCCCCTCGACCAGCCTCCCCAACCCCCCTTGACCCTAACAGCACCTCCAGCGGAGTCTCAGGGCCAATCACAGCCTCCAATTCCTCCCCCGCTTCCCCCTCCCCTCCCCCCACTCCCCCCGCGTCCGCCCCCCCAAACCGCACCATCACCCAACCAGACGCTGCCACGTCAGCACCACCACCATCACCGCCACTGCCAGGCATTGCCACTGGATTTAACATGCTGTGCGCTGCTCTCTGTGACTGTTCCCCTAGTGGCTTACTCTCATTCTCACACTCGACATTGTCACAATCAGCTTTGTCACAGTCAAAGTTTTCCCAGGCACTGCCAGTTTGGATTGGCATTCTAGCACCACTTCCTTCCTTCTTCCCCCCTTGTTCTTCTCTCCCTGCTCCCCTTCCGTCCCCCCTCCGCCCTCCCCCTCCATCCCCCCTTCCCTCTCCCCCAGGTTCAACCCCAGCCGGCCTCTCAAGCCCAGTCACTGGATAACGAGCACCACCTGCTGACGTGGCCAGTGATGTGGCAGCACCGCTGGCAGCCCCACGCCACGTCACCCCTCCCCCAAGCCGAACCAGCTCAACCCTAGCTAGGTCCCTCACTCTCCTCCTCCTCTCCTTTGTCTGAAACTCCTCATCCTCATCATCCTCCTCACTCCCCATCCCCTCCTCCCACTGCGCCTCGGCCTCCTCATCCCTCCGGGCAGCTGCGCGGGCAGCCGATAAAAGTTCCACCATCTGCCCGGACAGCCTGCCCGCGGGCTGCCCGAAAAAGGCGTTGAACTCGAGCAGGTGGGAGCCGTGGCGGCGGAGCATGAGGGAGCGAGTGTGGAGCGGGCAGGAGATGAGAAAATCGTTGTGGTCAAAGAAACAGTCGTCGTAGCGCGCACAGGGCTGGGGCGGGGAGGAAGGGGACAGGAGGGGCCGGAGCGGGTGGGGAAGGAGGAGCCAGAAGGGGGTGGGGAACGCATGGGTGGGTGGGGAGGGGAAGGAGATGAGGAAATCGTTGTGGTCGAAAAAGCAGTCGTCGTAGCGCGCACAACATCCGCCGTTACATCTCACCAGGTGGTAGAAGTGGCTAGAGATGCAATTTCCCGTTACACCTCTCCTCCCTCGCCTCACCGTTTCTCACTGACCAGCAGTTGAAACGAACACCGTTTCATCTCACCGGGTGGTGCACAGCACATGCGACCTCCTGTCAGTTTCATCTCGCCACCCGTCACAACTCACGAAGTTTCATCTCACCAGGTGGCACGTGTGACTCACCAGGTGGTACGTGTGACTCACCAGGTGGTACGTGGACCAAGGCGCGCGCGTGGACCAAGGAGCGCGCGTGGACCAAGGAGCGCGCGTGGACCAAGGCGCGCGCGTGGACCAAGGCGCGCGCGTGGACCAAGGCGCGCGCGTGGACCAAGGCGCGCGCGTGGACCAAGGCCCGCGCGTGGACCAAGGCGCGCGCGTGAACCAAGGCGCGCGCGTGGACCAAGGAGCGCGCGTGGACCAAGGCGCGCGCGTGGACCAAGGCGCGCGCGTGGACCAAGGCGCGCGCGTGGACCAAGGCGCGCGCGTGGACCAAGGCGGCACTGCTCCTCCCGGCACCCAATGTTGGCCCCGCTGCGACCACACCGCCTGCACTTGAGTAGCCTCCCCCTCCGATGCTATTTCCCATCTCCCCACCCTCCTTCCATCTCACCAGGTGGTACGTGTGTGGGCACCGCTCCTCGCGGCACCCGATGTTGGCGCCGCTGCGGCCGCACCGGCTGCACTTGAGCAGCCGTCCCCGCCGCACCGCAGCAGGCACATTCTTCAGCTGATTCACCGCACAGAAAAACACCTGCGGAGAGGGGGAGAGGGGAGAGGGGGAATGGGGAGAGGGGGAGAGGGGAGAGGGGAAGAGGGGGTGAGGGAGGTAATGGATTTTGACTTTCAAGGAGCCTCAAGCAGCACCGGCTGCACTTGAGTAGTTCCCTCCCTCCGCACCGCAGCCGGCACGTTCTTCAGCTGGTTTGCCGCACAGAAGAACACCCGGGGACAGAGGGTGGTGAATTATTTCAGCTTCTTTCAGGTGCCTCAAGTGCACCGGCTGCACTTGAGCAGCATCTCCCGCCACACGGCGGCTGCAGGTACGTTTTTCAGCACAAGAACACCAGGGGAAAGAGGGGTAGAGAGAGCGGCAGCAGGCATGGTGGTGGTGCGGGTGTGGTGAGGTCTCAAAAGCTACAGAGCAGCAGGCGAGTTCTTCAGCTGGTTCGCTGCACACAAGAACACCTGGGGAGAGGGGGAGGGAGGGCGGTGGTGGTGTGAGGGTAACGGAGCTGTGTGAATAACGGAAGGGACGCCTGCTCTGCGTGGCTACAGGACGCAGCAACGGCTGGGAGGTCTGCATGCCTTGCTTGCTGAGCTGTGGTGACTGGGTTAGGTTAGGTAACGCAGCTGACTAGGCAGCGTGGCAGCAGCATGACATCACCAACGGTGGCATCGCCATCGTCATTATCGCTACTAGCAGCGGCGCACCTCGGGGCTCCAGATGGCGCATTCGCGGTGCACCCACGCGCCAGCAGCGCCGCTCCTCTCTGCCACCGGCCCCAGCAGCGGACCCAGCCACGCGCGCACGTCCGCGAAGTGCGGATCCGGCCGCATTGGCGGCCACCGCATCTCGCGCATCTCCCCCTCCACCGCGTGGTCCCTCCCCGCTCCCTTAGCTGCCCCCTTTCCGCCGCTTCCTCCGCCATCCTCCTGCTCGCCCCGCCCTTCCGCGCGTCCGCGGTCTCCGCCGCTCCGCGCTTTTCCCGAAATCGGAATTCGGGAAGCTCCCGCTGCACTCGATGACTCTCTTGGGCGGGAAGATCTGTCGTGATACGTGATTCGTCGGACTACGTCAGGAGGCGGCTCGCCGTGCCTGTTACCGCCGCACAGGCAGCAAACGGGGCCGTCTGCCGATGCGGATGACTTGAACGGCATGGCGTTCCGCTTCACCCGGACGCTATCTTACCGTTGGGAACATGTTTCGCAATGGAAACTGGACGACTGTTTGCGAATAGCGTTATGAGCGGGAAACGGGAGTGCATTTATGGAATGTGAATCATGCGATGCGAGGAGAGAAGCAGGAGCTGAAAGGAAAATAACTCGCAGGATTTGATGGGAATGCGTGGATTGCGTTTTACGAACTTGAATATTGAGCAGAAGTTACGATTGCGTAACCCGTTACCCGTTTCGTGATCCTGTCGTCGGTAGCGAAAAGCACACCCTTCTGGGGTACACGAGATTGTGTACCCACCCGCCCATCTGTGCCAAAATTGCTTTCGTGGTGCCTGATTGGTCAGACGGATGGCAGATGATGATGGGAATGCAGAGAGCGATGGGCGTGGCGGGCAGAAAGCAACATTGGAAGGGTGGGGGTCATGGATGTCGGATGGCGGGAACCATGGGCAGAACGACGAAGAACTCTCGACCGAGTTACCAGCAACTGTGTTTTTTCGTGACAACCTCGACAGTGGTGCATGAACGAGGCCGAAATGTGGCGAGCGGCAAACGGAACTCGTTCGCACACCAACGACCAGCGCCGAGCCTACCGCCCCCAGCCTCCTCCCTCGCTTTTCTCCGAACCTGACACAAAAACCACCTTCCTCCTGCTGCATCTTTCTCCTGCCTCGATTATCTCCCTGAATCCCCCTGGTCCACCTATTATCCAGTCACGTTTGCTGACTACCAATCGCCTTGCCGAAACCCTTGTGCACAGTCTTGAGTTATGGTCGCTTTGTGAAACCTAATCTTCGTCTATGGTCGCTTTGTGAAACTAATCTTGTCTTTCACCCGCTTCGGCTGAGCCTGTTCTTTTATTCAATCAGAGCAAGCCTGCGTTGGTTCGGTTCTTAAGAGAACCCAATTTTGTAGTAGTTATTATTCTAGATTTCACCATGGATTTCTCAGATGACACGGATTACACGTGTCCGTTGTGCATGGAGGAAATGGATTCCACAGACAGGAAGTTCCAGCCGTGCCAGTGCGGCTATCAGGTGCTTTCCGCTCTCCTAAGCCCGCGTAATATCCCGTTCTAAGGATTATGGATGAGATTCCCGCGTCCAGCTACTTGTTTAGTTCCTTTTCGAAACAGATGTTAAAAACTTTCGTTATGAACGTTTGAACTGAATATGAGTCAAAGTTCTGGTCTAAATTTAAAATTCAGTTGTTTGGGACGTCCTTACTATTGTAGCGTACGATTTGACCTGTGCTGTCTCATCCGTTGCTTGTCTGTGGTAACTCGTGGTAACTCGTGGTGACTCGCAGATTTGCCTGTGGTGTTGGCACCACATCATGGAGATGGCGAATAAGGACCATCTAGAACCTCGCTGTCCAGCCTGCCGTTCTCCCTACAGCAAAGACAAGATCGCATCCAACGGTCCCGATCTCGACGAGTAAGTCACGGAGTCCTTAGTAACGTGGAACCGTCATCATCCGGCAAGGTTTCTCTTGCTTAAAGTTTTTTTCTCCGTAATCAGCTTGTTTCGTCGCATCGTCATCACCCACTATGGTTTCGTGTCAGGAGCTAAAAATACATAGCGACATCGTTTCTATGTGCTGCTTATGTCTGGCCTTGCAGTTTTACCGAGTCGGACAAGCGATCCAAGTCGAAGTCCCGTCCAAAGAGCGCGTACGCGACGGCAGAAGGCCGGCGGCATCTGAGCAACGTGCGCGTGGTGCAGAAGAACCTTGTCTACGTCGTCGGTATCCCGCTCTCCGTCGCGGACGAAGAGGTCAGTCGTAGCTTTGGGTCTAGCTTGCTCGCCTGTATCAGTTCGACTGGTTTGTCGACGCAAAGACTCAAAACCTACGCGCAGAAGAGCCTTGTCTACGTCGTCGGGATCCCGCTCTCCGTCGCAGACGAAGAGTCAGGCGTCGCTTTAGATTTAGCCTGCTGGCCTGGATAGATTCGACTGTCGAGTCGACTTAGAAGACTTAGAACTTGCGTGTGGTGCAAAAGAACCTCGTTTACGAAGTCAGAATTCTGCTGTGCGTCTCAGGCGACTAGGTTAGTTGTAGTTTCAGGTTTAGCCTGTTCGCTCGATTCAGCTGTTGTGTCGACTCAAATCGTGCGCGGCGGGGTGCAGAAGATTGTCGTTCACGTCGTCTCGATCCTGCTTTCCGTCGCAGACGAAGGGGTTATAACGTAGACTCAAGTTTAGACCGTTCTCCCTCCTTCATCGATCCGATGGTCGCGTTCCTGCGTGAGCATGCCGAGTCGTACCTGCTGCCGCTTTTACGCTTCCTGATACCCTGGATTCGCGCCGTCGCGTCGTGTTCGCTCGTCTCGTTGAACCGCCGTCGAACAGTCAGCCGCCGACCCTGTTGCTAATATCACCCGATTTTTCCCTCTCGCACTTTCCTGCAGACTCTGGAGCGGCGGGACTACTTTGGTCAGTACGGCAAGGTCGTCAAAGTGGCCGTGTCCCGCTCCAATTCCTCCTTCGGCGGCTCCGTCCACCCCCCCTCCGCCAACGTGTACGTTATTGAGATTTTCACTAAGAGTTGTTTTTCTTCAAAAAACAAAACCAAAAAAAGGGGCAAAATAAGAACGACGCGCACACACAATAGTGTGTGTACTTTATCGAGATTTTCAGGTGTCTTGCGCCACTGTGGTGTGATGGTGTGAACGTGTGGTGCATGTGGTGTGTGAACGTGTGGTGTGAACGAAACATTTTTGTGGTTGTGTCTGCATGTGAACGTGTGAACGTGCGATGTGCATGTGTTTGTTGGACCAGGTACGTGACTTATCTGAGGGAGGAGGACGCCCTTCGGTGCATCCAGGCCGTTGACGGATGCCTCTTTGAGAATCGAATCCTCAGGTGCGCCCTGCTGGCTTGCCCGATTTGAAACTTGCTGCTTGGAGTACTAGGTTTTATGTTCTGGCTATTTAAAGCCTCAGGCAGTTGTAGAAGCCCTAACAGACTATGTCCTATCCTGTACGCTGCTTTGGATTGGTTTGTCTGTGCAGAGCATGCTTTGGCACAACTAAGTATTGCAACGCGTGGCTGAAGAATCTGGTATGTGCCACCTGTCAGTTGGGAGTTAGGAGGGTAATGCAAGCTGCTGCGTATCCTGCATGCGACGGTGTGGGTCCAGGTCACGTTTGTTTGGCTAAAGTCTACTTCGAGTGTGCGGTGTGGCAGATATGCAACAACCCGGACTGTTTGTATCTTCACGAGTTTGGCACGCAAGAAGACAGCTACACCAAGGAGGAGATGGTGCAGCGGCATGGGGTCAGGTGCGTCTTTAATTATGCGTTTGTTGCAGAGGCATGGGCCTAGGTGCGTCTTTGAATGATGGCAGGAGAAACAGCACGTATAGAGGTGGTAATTAGTGCTTTGTGTTTGTCCTGTCGCTTGCTAGTGTTGCTTTTTTCTAGTGGACCTTCGTCCCCTCACCTGCCGCCTCACACTACCGCCTCTCCCACCAACTCCGTCTTCTGTCTCCCATCTGCTGTGTGCTGTGTGCTGTGTGCTGTGCGCCATGTGCCATGTGCTGTGTGCTGTGCGCCATGTGCCATGTGCTGTGTGCTTTGTGTGCCATCTCCCATGCCTCGTTGCAGCAAGCACCCAGCTCCGTACTTCGACCCGTCGCATTCTGTAAACCGCCGTGCAGCCAATGGTCTGCCACCCTCGCTTGACACGCATATGGAGAAGGTCAGTTTTGGGTCAACTGGGCTGCTAACACTCGTGCTGTGTCGTTTTACATCAAAGTCGTATCTGGTTGTATCCAAAGTTGTTCCCGTAGTTTCTTAACCCATTTGTTTTGGTTCGAGTGTGCAGAGTTTAGCTGCGCCACCAGCGAGCCATCCAGCAACGACAGCTAAGGTGTTCACGCTGGGACCGTCAACGGCGCCCAAGACTGGAGGCCTGCTGCCCGCAGCCGCCTCATGGTATGATGCTCTTGAGTTGAACGATTCTCGCTGGCAAGTTTTGTGGCGCGTTGGGGCATTCTGCTGAGCGTTTGCCTCGTTTTCCCGCTCTCAGTCCCTTCTGACGTTCTCCGTCCCCTCTCCGCCCTCGTGCTGTTGTGTGTGGACTCGTTTCTTGCCAGGGGCTCCAAGGCGTCACTAGCGGGGAAGGTCGTTCTATCAGCGTCCAAACCTGCTTCCACCAGTACAGTCTCCTCAGCAATATCAGTCCCTGCAGCGAGACCCACGTCTGGATCCACACACACAGCATCTTCCTCATGGTCTTCATCCAACGGCCCACAATTGTTCAAACCATCCGCAGCAGTGCTTAGTGGCCGGGTGATTCAGGCCAGTGCGCATTCCCCGCCGGTAATCTCGCATGTGAACGCCGCACATGCCGCGACTGGGGCGGGGACAGGGTTCGGATCGTTGCAGGACAAGCAGATGCATGGCAAGTCACCGCCTAGCATTCTCTCGCAATCGTCGCCTGTGCGACCCGCAGCGTCCACCACCGTGGGTTTCCAGCCGTCGGGTCTGTCTAGTTCCGCCGCCTCTGTCGCTAGAACAGCAGCCACAGCCGCGCTTGCGTCAGGGCCTGGGAAACCGTCAGCAGTAGGGGCATCGCAACAGAAGGTAGCAGCTGCTTCCGCCGCTCCTGGTTCGGCTGGTTCGTTAGGCTCGGCAGCTGCTGGTTCGGTTGCAGGCGGTTCTGCGCGGTCTAAGGGTCAGTCGCCGTCGAAGCAGAGGTCTCGGTTGGTGGTTCTGGGGCAGACGGCGCAGGCTAAGGCTTCGTCTCTGGGCAGAGAATCGCCCACACCCGCGCAGCTCGCGTCGTCAGGTGCCGCGTCAGGTGGTTCGTCAGGTGGGTCAGCAGGTGAGCACGACTACGCGGCTGCTTTGGCAGGTCGAGCTGCTGCAGGAGGGGCAGCGGCTACGGGCAGCAGCGGATCAAAGAAGGGATTGAACGGGACGCATGCGCATAAAGGGTCACGATCTGAGGACATGGAGGGAGTGGAGAGCGGTGATG